GGATACGAGCCTGTCGTCATCGAGACCCATTAAACTTGCGGACCTTGTTTCTCCCCAGAGCTTCAGCAGGTCTGGAGGCCATGACGGGAAAAAACAAAACTCTTTGCACTTTACGTGAGATGTTTCACAGTTTGAGTCTGAACTGCGACAACAGCAAGAGCACTAATGCTTCCTTTGACACTACCTGTTGTTTTTTTCCGTTTGTTTGTTTATCTGCTTCTGTTTCACAGTAAACAAAGCTCAGAGCTAAGATATCAGCCTCTACACACTCATGTCAGTGTCATAAATAAGCATCAGAATGTCTAACTTTGATGCTGGAAACAAGCTATGATTAGCCTTAAATACTCAGTTTGTGTGTGTGTCTGTGTGTCATAGGAAAAAACTATATAAAAACTAGTGGCAGACAGACAGAGGAAAATAGTCTGTTGTTATTTATAATCTCAGTGAACTACAGTTTCCATGATTTGTTCATGATGGTAGGATAATCTGAGGTTAGATTATAATGCGGTTGTCTAAGGTTTTGACACATTAACGCTGGAAACAGTTTAAGTTGCCAAACGAACGTGACTGTCAGCGAGGATAATAAGGAATTTAACATTTTTGTGACACTCTTAGCTCCTAATGTCTTCATCAGTCTGAAATATTTCCATAGTCTGCTTTTTTAATCAGTGATTTTTGTCTCACAGAGACACTGGTCACTTCATATCAGGTAAAACAAAACAATTGGATTACAAACACCAACGTCATAAAGAGGATCAACAACATCTGTATTTCCTCTGAGATGATATCCTGTGGGAACAGTCCGTCTAACATTTAGATGATGTGAATAGATTGTAATGGAACCTCACCATAGAAACCTGCAACTTTAGAGAGATTTATCAGTTTAGATTTAAAACTGATGATTGCTGTGCTGACATTTAATTTTGGGCTCAGTCATCAGCTCTGAAGGAGGTGTGTGTTTGAAAAGGCCACTCGTTTCATTTGGTCTTTAGTTTGAGTTTGTTTCCCTGTTGATCAGGATTATAAAACATGAGACCACTATCTGTGTTGTTGCGTGCATGTGTGTACAGTATGTGTTTCTCTTGAATGATCCACAATAGTCTATGATGGTGTCGACTGTGGTGAACAGAGAAACTTTAATTTACATTTTTAGTTTTTGTGTTTTGGCTCTAGAGACTCCCGGCCTTTGTATGTGTCCCTCGGTTTTTCCTCCGTTAAAGTTTTGTACGGTAGAATTACACACTGTGTAGTTCAATCTTTGCTGCCCCCTGGTGGAGCAGACATGTGATGGTCCCGTAACTTTTCTTTACCGTTCTTTGAAAAATCATTTATTCCAAAAATTTGTATCCAGTTTTACACCACTAATTTCACGCTGCGAAATTAGGGAAATTTAAATTGGATGTCATCAGTCAGCGGGCTGGGTGATGACATCATCAGTTTTAATCCCAGATTATTGTTGCATGAGAGACTTTTTGGCCTCAGATTTAAAGACCGTTTGAATTTTCCCTGCAGTTTTTTATTTTACATTTTGATATATAATTTCAAGGTTTAAAATCTATATCTTCAAACCAGCATAGGAAATGTTTGACAATTTGAGTTGTCAGTTTCAGAATTCAACTTCAACAGAAGATAGACCATAGGAAACATCCGTGTTTAGTATTAAAAAAACTTTAAATCAAATTGGTCAAATATCATTTACCTATTTTTCATCAACAGTGACACTTTTTCCCCTCTTATTTTTTCACGTATTTTTCACTTCCCATTCACTTTTTCATTTGTTCTTTTTGTCACATTGTTTTGGGATAAACCACTGAAATTTGGGATTTGAGTTGATATTTAAAATGTTGTCGTGATTTTGATGTGTTAACATTTTGTACATTGTTGTGTTTGCTGTTTGTCTGGAGGCAGGTTATAAGCTATGCACACTCTGCTCACCTCCTGCAGCTTTTTGTATCATTTTAAATGGATTACATCGTTTTTCTCTAACAAATTATTTTATTGTAACAAAAGCTATAGTTATAATTAACCATTTTGGAATTTTATTAGGAAGACACTTTGTTATTGTTGTTTATTTCTGCATTAATAAAACTTTTATAAAAACTTTTATTGTTATTTTTAATTTAATTCTAAATGGTCTTCCTTGCTTTTAAAGGGTAACACTTTTTGGGACCCTATAATGACCTGATTGGTGCTAAAGCCACAAGTCCATTATAGGGCAACGTATAGAGACAAACAACCATTTGTACGTATGGCCTTTTTTTTTATCTATTGAAATTCAAAAAAGAAATATTTTTTTAAAAATGCTGACACTTTACAGTTTAGATTAAATCCTGTTGAACTTCTGCTATTGCACACCCTTTTCTGTGGAACTGAGATGATATATTTATTTATAATTTATATATTAAGTTGATAAATTATGTCAGCAAAAAGTAATATTTCTCTTTTTTTTAGATAACTTTAAGCAACAGTTTTGTCATTCATCCAGTTCACAAATATAGATCATCTGTGTCAGTGTCAAGTTGACTAGGAGTTCAGATGGAGATTTTTCATTTCATCCCTGCAGGTTAGTGAGCTTTCTCTTTCAACTCTGCTATTCTTCAGTCATCAATCCCTCCTGACACTCCACCCTTTTCTTCATCTCTTCTGTGTGCTGTCCATTACTCTGGAGCCTAGACTGTTGACCCTAAGTATTTAAACTCATCCACTTTTACTACCTCCACATTTTTTTCTTCCACTCATCTCACCCATATGTTCTGTCCTGCTCCTGCTGACCTTCATTCCTCTTCACATCAATCCTCCACCTCCACCCGGTTTCCTTCCTTCTGCTCTCTACTCTCACCATTATATGACCGTCATCTGCTAACATTCTTAACTGTTTTTATTTGGTGGCATAATGTTTCTATAGTGAAATATGTGTCATGGCTCTTTTAAAACATTTGCCAGCAACACATTTAGGTAGCTAAAACATATTCAAAATATAGCTACGCAATGGAAAGTTAGGTACATTTAGCTTTGAGTCAGCCCAAGTTGACAAATTGAGCTCATCAAAATATATAGGAAAATACCTTGATATTTAAAAAACACTTTCAAAATTCAGTTCATCCTTAGTTTTTCCATCATCATCAATTCCTACAGTCGTTTCCAGGTCACAATTTGGACTTAAACACTGTGAACAAATTTAAAGGATGAATTTAACATCAGATTCTTTCAAAGAGAAACACACACACAATGCTGTTTTTTAAAAATCCAGTCTCTGAAACCAATTTATTTCAACACTTTGTTTTAGAACTTGTTTGCCAGGTCATAAATTCATTTTTCCAAAAGGTTTTCAGGGGAAAATGGATCAAAGGTGCGGCAGTAGTGTTTTATCAAAAATGCACAAAGACATGGGATTTTTTTTTTTTTTTTTTGCAATAACACAACAAATGTGGTGAAATATTTTAGAATATTTTTACCTACCTTAAACTTCTGGAATCTCTACATCTCATTCAAACATTTAGAATATGTACACACATATGTACGCACATGTAAAATATTTACACATGTGTAAATATGAAAGTACAGAACCATTCTGAACACCCAGGCAAAGCTATGTGCGCTTAGGAACATCTGGTACAGTGGGTTTGAATGTCAAAACATGTTTTATGCTACAAATGTCCAGACACGCAAATGCTTAGGGATTCCTTAACATCAAGAATCTGAGCAAATGTCCTGAACCTGTACAGATGTTCAAAATCTTTCTGAATAATGGGCATTTTTGCAAATTGTTAATGAACATTCATAATGTGCAAGGCAATGATGGACACCCAGGCAGGTTTGCAATCTGTGCAATCTTATGTAATTATGTGAAAATTACGTGAAATCTGGAGTGTTCTCCAGGTATGTATGACAATCCAGAACAATCATATACTCAAACATACAAAAACTCAGATCTGTGCAAATGTACAGAATCTCTATGCAGAACCAAAATTTCTCAGAACTGAAATAACTTCCCAGCACGAAAAAATTAAAAAATGGAATCCGTTATCTGTAGTACCCAGAAAAACCTACGTAATCTGAAAAAATGCACTTAAAACGTCTAGAATCTTTTCATACGTACGGTAATACAGAATCTGGACACTGGTCCTTAACCGGTCTGTTCAGACGGACCAACGTCCAGATGCGTACACGGATGATTTCAGAAGGACAGCCTCCTGAGTGGTTCTGTTCGTACACAGTGCCACCTTGAAGTGTTGGTTAGTTTGCGAGGTACAGCTTTATGCATAGCAAAGCCCCTGAGATACCACGAACGAGATAAAGGGCTAATACGTCTAATCAATAACTGACAGTCAGACTTTGAGGGTTGATACTGATCAGGAAGATTTTTGATTTGTTTTCAGTACCAATGTACAAGTAGAACTATTACTATTTTTAATTATTATTATTTATATTATTGCACAGGTCAGTCAGCGTGGGAGAGAGTTCTTTGGCTAGTCAGGTGACACTCTTTAATGACTGAAATTCTAAATAAGGCTAATGCTCATGTCTGAGTTAGGATTCCTTTACCTCCCATCAGTCATGACATCGACTGAAGCTACAGCTGAGAGCTGACAATGTTAGTATCTGAGGAAGTAACATGATACCATCGTTAACACAGGACCTGGGTTCAAACGACAGGACGGACCTGACATCACTGTAACTGTCGCATTCTGCTACGTAACAGACGTAACAATTTATTTTTCCCCCTTTCATTCAATAGAATTAAAGGCAGATAATGCAGGAATTTCAAAACAAAAAAAAAATCAAAACTTTTTTTTTTTTTTAAACCTTCCTTTGGAGGTTTGGAAAGAAATATTAACCAATGGTAAACAGAGCCAGTTGATGTCTTCCATCTAAAAAACAAAGAAGTCCTCTGGGGGCGCATGAGTTAGAAATCTCATTAGATATTTAAAAACTTAAAGAACAAGTCTTAAGAGAAATTATATTGTATGTAAGGCTTAAAGTCATGGGGAAGGAAATTAACAGTGTTTACAGCCCAGAAAGAAGAGGGAACTCGGGGGGGCACACACTTTACAAACTTATAACAACTTGCTGCATGTCCTACCTTTAAGTCTACTGTATTCACCGCTCAAACGAAAAATAAAACACTGTTGATAATGCTCAGGTCTTTGTGGTCACACTCACGAACACTGTAGTAGTGTAGTGCTACTATTTGTCTCAGGTTTAAAAAAAAAATTAAAAAAAATAAAAATTTCGTGTCAGCCGAGACATAGTATAGATTTATCTAATAGATTTATCTAAAAAAGGTTTGTGATCGCGGTTTTATCAAACCCAACATTTGGTATCAAGACTTTTAAAAGGGAAAGAAAAACAACAAATTAAAACATTTACAGTGTGCAAAAATAATGATGGCCAAAGACTTGACTCTTATTGGTCGGTGTGAGCTGGGGCATAGAATAACTATCTGTACACAGTCTTGTAGAAAGACGGAGGGAGGGGCGGGGCCAGTGTTTCAAAATGTGAGGTGAGCTGGGGCTTCCGTCAGGCTGCACTACCTCTTGATGGACAGGTGCAGCCCGTTCAGTGGGTTGAGTGGGTGGGGCAGGGGTGAGCGGAGCTCCAGCTGGGCCAGCAGGGAGAAGTGGTCTGAGGGGATGTGGGGGTGCGGGCAGCCCGTGATGTGGTTGTCCACCAGCCACTGGCTGTCCAGCGGTCCCAGCAGCCCCAGGACGCTCATGTGGGTCTTAGAGAAGAAGATGTAGTCGATCACACCCTGTAGACACAGACGAGGGGGTTGGAGGTGGGTTTTCACAAGTATTGATAAAAATGTGATTGTATTCAGATTCATGAGAGAATTTAACAGTAATTTGTTCTCTTTTGTTTTTACCTTGAAATCATAGGTGTAGTTGGTATAAGGCATCATGTCACTGTCGTAGGCGCTCTTCAGCTGGAAGCTGTGGGTGATGCTTCCGTCAGAGGTGCCGTTTTTGCTGTTGCAGCTGAAGTTGGACAGACATTCGTTGTAGCGAAGCTCCTTAAAGTCTTTGTGGTTTTCGGCTACTTCGCCATTGCTAAGGTACTCGACTACACCTGAAATGAAACAATGATAACAGGCTGTTAGGTTTTATGTTCGCTGAGAGAAGCTGCGACTTTTCTGAACTTTACTGTATTTACTGGGGCATAGGTTCATGACCAGTTGGTGTTTTACTGCTGGTATAATATCTGTGCTACAGTGTCAGCATCTGTGAAACGTGCAGCTCACCCCACTGAGTACTACCTGAGTCTGGCAGAGAGTTGAGGTCGGCACACAGGACGATGGGGACGGAGCCAGGATCAGGGGTGGGCGAGCCGCTCAACACTGAGCCTGCAGCTCTCTCAGCAATGCTCTTTAGTTCCGACAGGAACATCATTGTCTGGATTAACTTCACGTCCGAGTACTCAGGGTCCCAGTGCATATGAGCGTTGGCAACCAGGAGGAGCTGGCGGTCTTGTGGAGTCTTTATGCCTGAGAACAAAGACAAGGAGAAACATTTCAGATGCAGAGGGAAGAAAATATTTGTAGACAAACAATAATCTCCTATTGTCTGGACAGGCTGGGTTTTTTTTGCTCTCATTCACTTTTTCAGTTTTCTTACCACCAGAAAATGTGTCTTTGTGGATCTCCAGGAGAATAGCCACACCGATGTTGTCTTTGGTCATCACTCTGTTCAGCATGACCTCAGAGCCCTCGGAGTTGGCCATGGCCACTTGGTTAAATTCAACGGTGTGTTTCTGCACCAGAGTGAATCTGCAGGACCAAGTTGAAGCGGTTTTCAGGAAAGTCTAACACAGTGGTAACATCATCTAGGACAGGGGTGTTAAACTCATTTTCATTGGGGGCCACATCAGCAATACAGTACTCCTTCAAGGGCCAGTTGTAAATGAAACACTATATAGATCAGGGGTCCACAACCCCCGGTCCGCGGACCAGTCCATAGGTCATTTGGTACCAGGCCGCAGTGAGACAGTGTTTACTTCAGTTTTACTAACTTACTTAATTCAAAGAAAATGTATTCAAAGATAATCTGGCAATATTTTAAAGAAATAGGTCCCATGTCCCACAACCCGGCCTCAAATAAGCTGACGATAATGGATGGATGGATGGATGGTCGCAGGTAACAACAGAAAAGGTCGGGCAGCACTGGTATAGATGTAACTACCCCATAACAGCCTAATACATGTTTCTGTAATTGATTATTATTACAAATATAGTTCATTTGCTGTGTAATAAAAAAACTGTTTAAATTCTCAGGTTTAGAAACTCTGCTGCATGGACTTTACTAAATACTTTTTAAGCTCCCGCGGGCCACACAAAACGGCTTGGCGGACCACACAAAACGGCTTGGCGGGCCACATTTGGCCCCTGGGCCTTAAGTTTGACACATATGATCTAGGACATTTAAACATCAGAAGAGTCTGATTTATGCTTGGGAGCCATAATGAAGGACAAAGTTCCCAAACAACAACACAAAAGAAAGTCATTCTAGCACAATCCAATGTATCGAGTACACCCTGGGAAACAACGAGAACACCGTAGGTCAAGGACGTCTTAGACAGAGGACTCCCTGTATACTGTTAGAAAAGTTGGAGAAAGTCAGAGCTTTGAAAAAATAGAATTCTCATAAAATGTAGAAAAAGTAAACTTTTAACTCACTTGTTAGTCTTGAAAAACACAGCACAGCCATCTACGCGTTTTCTCTCCTGTTCCGACACCAGTTTGGCACGAGATTTTGGATAGAAGTATCCATCGTAGCCGCGCCCCTTTAGAGTTTCCAGAAACAAAGTGTAGTACTGCTCTGTCTCCACTTCCTGCAGACAAAAATATATATATAAAAAAAAGGGGTTCACCTGACAGTATACAAGATAAAGAAAACAGCAGGGCACTAAAATCCTTGACCTCTTCATTTACCTGCAGGCTGATGATGTCAGCATCACAGTTGGTGATTTCCTCCATGATGCCTTTTTTCCGATACTCCCAGTTCAGTGCCCAAGATGGACAGTATCCGTAAAGCTGCCGCGTGGCGTACTTGTCACACAGGACATTGTAGCACATAACGGTAAACACAGCTGGAGAAGGCCAAATAAAGGCTGTCAATCAGTTACACTATTGAATAAGATTAATCACAGAGTATCTGTGGATTAATCACAATTAATCATGATTAACCATGATATACTAATCATGGTTAATCAGTAGATCAGGAAAATTGTGAAAATTTTGTCAGATTAATCTTCACAAAAACCTTTTTACTAATCTAACTTTTTATGCAATTTCAGTAAATATGAAACTGAAATGTTTGCAACTTTTCAGATATTATTTTCTTCTTATTTTTTTCTTTGACTGGTTTTATCTTTAAAGCATGAAAGCAAGTTTTTCTCCAGGTGTGCAGAACTAAAACTTAAACATAAATAATAAATAAAAGAAGGTTCTGGTACCTGTGGGAATCATTTGGTCTCGTTCCTTCAGAGTGATCCATGGTCTCTGTGGAAGCTGCTCTGGATGAACTGGGAAATTGAGATTTACTGTTAGATACTGTGGATCTGATCAGTTTTTTGAGATAAGTCTATACAATACATGTCAAACTCAAGATCCGGGGGCCAAATGCAGCCCTCCAAGCTGTTTTGTGTGGCCCGTGGGAACTTGAAAAGCTTTTAATAAAGCCGATATTCTGCTTTATTGCGGCTGCCATGCAGCAGAGTTTCTTGCCTTATTTATAGGTAGTATTTATTAGTAATTAAAAGTCCCCAATCTTTTGTGTTCCAAGGACTGGAACAAAACAGCTAGTACCACCCGTTACTACAGACCGGTACATTTTCAAATTAAAACATCTTTTATACTTCTATTCTATTAGTATCAGAGTCTCAATGATCTATTATTTTAAAATTAGATTATCTTTTGCCAGATTATCTTTAAATAAAGAAAGCAAATGGATATCACTGGATTTTCTTTGAATGAAGTAAATTAGTAAAAATGGTCCCACTGCGGCCCAGTACCAAATGACCTATGGACTGGCACTGGTCTGCGGACCGGGGGTTGGGGACCCCTGATTTATACAGTCTACCAGTTCCAACTGGTCCTTCAAGGGGAACTGTATTGCTGATGTGGTCCCTGGTGAAAATGAGTTTGACACCCCTGGTCTATACTGTAGGAATTAGTACATGGACTAGTGATACACTACACTACACTAGGAGTAGTTCAAGAGCTAGAAGTTTCTGGTAATGTGTAGTGGAAACACTTTTTGAATGAAGATCTGTGTTAAAGGTGGAAGAGTGGAGCTGCAGACCTGCTAGATTGTCGAGCATGTAGTTGAGAAGCTTCCTGGTCCCATCAGGCTCCTGGTACATGTTGAGGATGTCCTGTGACAAAGGGTTTCCTGCACAACGAGCAGGTCCAATATAGTTATATATAATTCAGTGTGCTTTCCAAATGTTGTCTGGATACAAACTGCACACACTGACCTTTCAGTCCTAGTGTTTGGAGCTGGAACAGACGACCAAGTTCATAAGGCAGAACTCGCAGAAGATTGTTGTTTAGAAGTAATTCCCTGTCAAAGACAAAGACATCACAAAACATTATCTCTCTCTCTAATGTTCTGACACAGACCTATGTAATATTACCTCACATATCACTCATCTGCTAGAGAGTACTTTGTCCTTAAAACTATTCACATGCAGTCAGAAGCATACTAAAAAAAAACCTTAAAACAGAACAAAAGTTACAAAACAAATTTTAAACTTTTTTGTTCTGTTATTTGAAGGATTAACACTAATGTGTTTGTCTCTAACATTCCTAAGGAATATGTAAACAGAGCCTTCTCAGTCTATGTTAATCTACTTAAGTTGAAGTAGTTGCACAATAGAGTACACTAACTGTCACATTATTTTGTGACTTATTTACTCCAGTGAAGCTGGTCAGTGAAAAACACTATCATTTTAATGCTGTACAACAAATTGTTTTTATTTCTTTCTGCACTTTTAACGAATCCCATTTTTCCCTAATGACCCTGAAAGCATCACGGTGCAGCCCACCTGAGAGTGACCATATTGCCTAGCTCAGCTGGCAGGCTTCGCAGCTTATTGGAAGACAGATTCAGGTAGACCAGGTTGGGCAGCTTCGCAATGTCGGGCGGGATGCGGGTCAGGTTGTTGTCGTTGATATGAAGTGTTGTGAGGTGAGTGAGTGTCCACAGAGAGCTGCTCAGGCTCCTCACTCTCCCTGAAACATCACAAGAACAACACACCAAATGTTTAGAGGTTTTGACATTTGTAACGAACCTTTTTTAAACTGTTTTATATTTTTCTTCTAACACAGTGTTTGAATAGGTGTCTACATGACAACTCCTGATCAGAGGAAAAAAACATCATAAAAATGTGAGTACATCATGTAACATAAAAGCCCACAGATGCCTGGAGGAGAAGACGTCTGAAAAGCTGATATTGTTTTTAAAGGTAAAGCATTGACACTAATTCTGCCTTAGGACCAAATCTGTCACTTAGAACTATGAAGTGAAAGGTGAATCATTGCATTAGTGGTTGCATTGATTCAAAAGACAAACTAGAAGAGCAGCACATTTCTATTAAATGCTAGACCTTGTTTAAAGTCTGACCTACAATGTATTCATACATTGTAATGAATACGTATCAATAGTTAATAAAAATATTAACAATGACATTTGGTATGTACTTTAATAAAACAAATGTGTAATTAAGTGGTTCGACAGACCAGAAATCTCAAGCTCTGTCCAGTGAGACTTCTTCCCACTGGCCGCCTCCTCAGCTGGCATGATGGTGTAACATCGGCGAGGATCTGGAGGTTCATATTTGTCCTTTGGCATACCTGGTAATCTGGGAAAATTAATACATTACAGTTAAATGTCATTTGGCAATTTAAAACATGGGTAATAAATGGTGAGAAATAAATAAAAAGATGTAAAAGAAGGGTGGGTTCATTTACATAAAATTATTTTGTATTATTATTTTTACATACTTTTTAAACATTATTTTTTTAAAAACAAAAGTGACTTTTTACGTGCTTATCGATATGACTCCTCTTTGGTACAGTTATAATAATAAAAGAGTCATTAGGTTTAAAATATATATGTTTGTCCTTTTGCCTGTTTGAGTGACTTTAAAGATTTGGGGAAGTGGACAAACGTTAACCGAACTTAACTGTTAATTTGAATCGAAACATTATGTAAAATTAGCCAAGTTTACATATATAACAAGTAAGAACCACGTTCACGGTAGTGATGGGAAGACCGACTCTTTTTACTGATTCGGATCTTTGACTCTCGAACAGTAAAATGAACGAATCTAATCATTTCATTCGTTTTACAGCAGGTGGCGCTTTAGACCTATTGTGGGCGTTGTAAAGAAGGCTGCGACACGAAACACGGAAGGCAACATGGTTTGCTTCCGCTGACTACAAGTCTACAAAGTACACAAAATGCCATAAGCAATTAAAACCATGCGAAAAGCTAAGAAATAAAAACACACCACAATGTGAAGATGAATGAGAGCAAAAAAGACCCGAGCTGTCTTTCACGTGACAAATGAAACGAATCTGCGAGAACGAAGCGAAAGATTAGTTCACAGGGAGTGATTAGTTCACAGCGAAAGATTAGTTCACAGGGAGTGATTCGTTCATAGTGAAAGATTAGTTCACGGCGAAAGATTAGTTCACAGGGAGTGATTAGTTCACAGCGAAAGATTAGTTCACAGGGAGTGATTAGTTCACAGCGAAAGATTTGTTCACAGGAAGTGATTCGTTCATAGTGAAAGATTAGTTCACGGCGAAAGATTAGTTCACAGGGAGTGATTAGTTCACAGCGAAAGATTAGTTCACAGGGAGTGATTCGTTTGCAATGAAAGATTAGTTCACAGTGAGTAATTAGTTCACAGTGAGTGATTAGTTCGCATTGAGTAATTTGTGAGTAATTCGTGAGTTCAATATGAACAAATCTTTTATATGATTTGGGAATCACGAGTCATAGAAAGACCGATTCGTTCATTTTGAACGAATCACTCGCGAACGACACATCACTAGTTCACGGACATCTTTTAACCGCGTGTCCAAACATAGTCGTCATGTCTAAAGTGACAAACGCGCACGGGTGCGTTCAAGACAACGGTGACAGGGGCCCTGCGCCCCAGTTCAGGAACATTGTTTCCGAACACCAGCTGTCCCACAGTGTCGCTTAACGTGGGGCATGCATACACACACTCAAGCAACATTTAATTAAATCCCACACGAACACATAAATGCACGCACGCACGGGCGGCAGACTCCAAACACCGCTCTTGATTTCTCGGCTCGTGGCCGCAGAGACGCACGCTGTCCGGACACAACACCGCTTGGAAAGTCGGTCCCAAACGTGGCCAATCTCTTTTTGATGCATGGCCCGGGATAAAGGCGCTACATTTTGTTCACACTGAATACAAACTGCCAGGTGACAATACCTTCATTCGTATGCAGTAGAAGAGGATTTGCGGTAGGTAAGTCGCGTGCACATGTAGCAACAGCAGCGGTAGCTGCGGTTTTAAAGCAGTCGTTCAGACCCTGAACGTCTCGGAAACGGGCATGCGAACAACGAACGTCACTTCCGCTATAGTTGGTTTTACAGGTGCGTCTTTGCTTCCTCAAGCTCTCCACGACTGGAGCTCGTCCAGTTCCAGAGATAGGGGCTTTTGGTCCTCTCAAAATATTCGAACAGGAGTAATCCTCCATGACAAAAGAAATCAGTTTTTAGTAAATAATATCATTATTATCACAAAATATTCTGTACACAAATGTCGATATGCCAACCCCCCCCCCTTCATTAGGGGTCTTAAAATGAAATCCTTTTGTTACTAAAATGTCTGAAACGAATAAATAATACCCATGCAAATAAACTGTACACATTGATAGAAGAAATTAACCTATCCTAACCCCATTGTATTTTTTTATTACGTTTTGTGGTTGTTGGTTGTTTTGTTTTTGTTTTTGTTTTGTTTGTTTTGTTGTTGGGGTTTTTTTGTTTTGTTTTTTTTTTGGAGGTGTGACTACTTTGAAATGTATGCCTAATATGTTTTTGACTGAGTTTGTCATTGTTCTTGAAAGAG